TCTCTCTCTCTCTCTCTCTCTCTCTCTCTCTCTCTCTCTCTCTCACTCACACTCTCTCTCCAAGTTCAACTTAACAGGAAAGAATAACAAAGATGAGGTGGAAGCCCAAAAAGTGACGAGAGCCTGATTCCACCACGCTGCCTCACGTATAATAAAAGAGCCAAAGACTAGTTGTATAATAATATAGAGAGATCAGAAGTGGCGTCGGTGGCCTAGTGGTTAGGCTACTGGACTCGTAATCGTGAGATTGCGGGTCCGGGGGTTCGAGCCTCAGCTCGGTCCGACGTTGTGTCCTTGGGAAAGGCACTTTACATACGAACTTCCCACTTGGCTCGGTCCCAGCGGAGACGGGCGTTAAACTAGGAGGTCCCGCCCCTTAAATAACCTAATAGTGTTGGTAGGGGCGTTAAACCCATACCATTTCACCAGAGACCAGAAAATGACCTGCAAAGATTTCAATGAAAAGGAGGAGAAATAAGGACAATAGAGAGTTGATAAAAAAGAAAGAAAGAAAGAACCACTCCAGACCACTTACCAACCTCCCGCAAACAAATCCCAGGTTTTTCTGCGCTTTAAAAAAAAATACCAAACCTCGGGGGGATATGAAAAGTATACAAGCAATTTTTATTGAATTTATAGTCGTATGTTTACAATTTGGAACTCATTGGTGTACTGTGTATTACTATTACATACAACTTGAGAAAACTGGCCTCTTAGTTAAAAAAAAAGACATTCCACAGAGTACAAAGAAGACATTTGTGTTACGACGTGGTGGAATCAGACGCTCGTCAATTTTTGGGCATACGGGGATATTAATACATATGTATCATCTTAAAGCCTGTTTATTTGCCTTCCTTTTGGTGAAAAAATATCCGCGTTGAATAGAAGTGGAGATAATAAATTAAAAGCGATTGAGGGTCGCCTGGTTTCGGAGGTCAAATTAGCGAGAAAATGGCCGCCAAAGTTTGGTAACTCTCATAGCCTGAGAGTCCTTGGAAACGGAAAATTTACCCTCTATATGCCTTTAATCGATGTTTTTCATTAAAAATCCACACAAAAATGTGTTTATTTTAAATGAAAAAGATCTACGCCTAGCCTTCTCAATCATTAGCGAAAAATCTCGGAGATCGCGAGTGCAAGTTGCGCACATTAAAGTGTTTAAAGATCCCTTGGTGGTCCAAAATCGATAAGAGTAGGCTTTGGCCGCCACCTGGGCAAAATTCAAAATTTCCTAGGAACTGAAAATGTTTAGTGTGTCCCGTGTGCTCACTTTATGACCTTATGCAGTTGCGAGCACCGTAAAACACTTACCTAAAGAATATTTTAAAATCCCAAACAGACAACCATGGTTCGTCATTCACTTTTTACTCCGTTCAAAACACTCAAAAATCTTATATTATCCTTGTTTTTCCCTGTCACCCACCTGTTAATGTTTTCCCAAGTAGGTTCCAAGAAAGCTGCCTCTGCCTCGTTTACCCTCTTTTTGTCCAATGAGAGCTAGATCTAGAGGGAGGAGGGAATAATAAATGATCTTTAAAATAACCTGCTCAGTATTCCAAAATTGACTAAATGAAATGAAGCTATATTTACATGCATGTACATATGACAGCACACAAGCACGCACACATGCAAACATCAAAAAAATTATTTGACTAATTTTATTGATCAGCATGTGTTGAAGAATCGTTTGATGCTAATGAAATGCCTGAACAAATTGACTACCACAGGTCCTGACTCAACCAGACAATGAAATGCCTGAACAAATTGACTACCACAGCTCCTGACTCAATCAGACGATATATGGCATCGAATGAAATCTGGGATTTTGTTTTGGATGATTTTCGAGGTAAAATGGCCCTTGAGCCATCATGTTTACCATTTGCAGAGTGCTTTAGTGATACATGTACCATGCGAAAATCTGGACCTACTTTACAATAGCCTTGAAGTATAGCTTATGTTAGGTCAAGTAGATGTATGGGTTTAACACCCCTATCAACACTATTTGATATTCAAGAGACGCGAGAGCAGCAAGGAATTTAATGTCCGTCTCGGATAAGACCAATTTTTAAAAATTTTCCACCAGGTAAAACCAAACCAAATTAATGGGTGAGAGATTTGAAAACTCTACAAAACAACTCAGTTCAAGAATGCCCTGTCAGGGATTTGGACCAGGTCCATCTACTCCACAGTCCAGCATGATATTGTGGTGTTCATCCCACAGCTCGTGCTCAGGTCATGACAATAAATGAATGACATCTTCACTAAGGTGTATAGTGTTTTATCTTCTATCTGACCATCAATGATTTATTTATAGAGGCACCAGCCACCCATGTCCAGGTGCTGTTTTAGCCTATCTTCTATCTGTGGACTCGGAGGAGACCCACAGAAACTTATCACTTCTAAGATAACCCAAATTTAGAATGCCCATTGAAATGTAATGTAACGGGTTCCCCAGAACTAAACTAAATGTGTGTGTAATTGTTGTTCTATTTATTGATGCATCTGACTTGTTTGCTTCTTCAGCGATGATATTTGTTTCATTTTTTTATGAAATGCCTGGTTCTGTGAGTCGTTGCACAAAACGTTGACGTGATATTCTTTGATATTCTTTGAATATGGTTTGATTTCCACAGGAGCACGCTAAGAGCAGTTGGGAAGATGGCATCAAATTTTAACTTCATTCTCTGGGAGGACATGACTGTATACATGAAAATCTGTCAACAGCACAATGGAAAATAAATTATGTCCTTATTCAATGGCATTGTTCTTCAAACCAGGGTTGCCTGCACAGAAACCAATCAAAATATTGACTTAGTTAGATTAGCTGTGTGCCCCCAAACCATTAGTATATATTTATGATGTAAATGCAGGGATTACTTTTTATATTGATTTATTAAATACTGCTTTTAAGAGTTGATGGTATTAAACAAAAATCGCCATGTTCTTTTTCACCATGAAGTGATGGGTACGGAAATACTCAAATTGAGCAAAAAGTGGTTTAAGTCATGATTTTTGCAATATCATCTTTATTCAAATACACATATGCACCATGACTTTGTCTAATTTGAATTGAAGTAATAAAGAACGAATTAATGATGCAAATGTGTGTGTTTTCTGTTTTTACGACTGCCTGAAAGAATGCGTGTGTTTGGAAAAAATATTAAATCTTTCTTAAAATTCGGTAAATATTATTCAGACAAAGTGCAAATTACTCTAAAATGAATGATTGTACTTCAAGTTAAATGACCACTGACACCTGCTGAGTTCTTGCTTGGGGTATATTTGCAGTGAGAACTTCTTCCAACTTTGAATGGCTTTTTCTCAAAACTGATTCTCCGAACCCAACTTACTTCAAACAGGCATACATTGGGAGTGGAGCCATATTTTTTTAATGAAATAAAAAGCAAATTGTTGAGAAATGGATATCCTTTAAAAAGATTTTTTTTTTTAAATTGAAAATTTCACAATGAACTGACTTTTTCAAATCACACCACATATAATGATATACCAAGACTGATTAGGCAAATTTGGGACTCTGACCTGTGGGACATTCGTGTCGGTTTTACGGCGCTCGCAACGGCAAAAGGTCATGTTAACGCCAAGGGATGGTTGTCAACAGAGAAGTTCAAAAGGGGAATCAGGCTTACACTGCTCACCTGTCTATCCCAAACAGCACAAAGTCTTCTTCGACTATCAAGACACCCCGGAAATAGCAGTTCACAAGAGACTGACAAACATACGAAAGAAGTAGAGGGGAAATGACGATAGTGTGGAAGAGGAAAGAAAAAGCAGCAGTTCCCCCTATGTTGTTCCGCACAGTATGAGCATGACAT